TTAGGAGAAAAATGAGTCTAATATGCAAAATTTTGCCTAGGCCCAGTTCTGGCCCAATTACTAGTCACACCCTCAAGCATTGCTAAATGCCACCCCTTTTTCCCTACTGAAAAAATATAAAATGAATGTATCAACAAAGGAGGTTAAATGGAGTTAAACTCTCCAAGTAACCCACCCTAAAAACAATATACAATGACTAATAAAAGAAACTAAAGTGCCTCACAAATACAAAGGCAAAAATAAGCCTATACAAGAGAACTATGTACAAGATATTTACAACTAGAATTGTGCCTTCTCTTCAAGATAGAGTGGTCCAAATTGAAGAGTACCTTAGGCTTGGAAAGCCCACTAGTCTTCAAGGTGTCCACTGGTCTTCAAGGTGGCCATAGCTCTAGAGATTGGGCCCTTGGCCCATGGTCCATCATCCCATTCCTCTTGGTTCCTTCAATGTATCACCTCTTGGATTCCTTGGCCTTGGCCATAGTCTATCATGTATGAAGTGTCCTCCAATTATGTTTTCATCTAGATTAAAGCATCCCTTAAAGGTAGTGAGTTGTTCCTCTAAAACATAGCCAACTCGTTGTACTCAGTAGCGCCACCATTAGCTTTGACACTTTTATTCCCCACAAATAGTGTTAATGCTTGTAAAGTATCATTTATTGCACTATCATTCCTATTAGCCACTTACTTCCCTAATTTGTTGAAATCACACAGGAAATAAACAAATAAAAAGGTCATAACAACAAACAGAAAACAAAAATAACTCATACAAATCAAACAATTCATAGAATACACAAAGGAAAACATGGCAAACACATAACGCATTGGATAGATGAACATGTGTCTTGTGCTCCCATGTGATCTAGACCTAAACTAGCTTATAAAAGCTTGCAATGTGGCAAGTTAGAACAGTGTGACTAGTGTGTAGTGCATGTGACCAAATGAATTTGTATAGCTTATGGTAAGGTGTAGGATTCACCCATGTGAGCATCTCACTCATGAGAGTAGACACCCCCACCAAGGCTCAATCACGAGCCTATTTAATTACATGTGCTACCACTAACACATGAGGCATATTTTACATGGAAATGATGTAATGATGGAAATCTAATCCCCAAGGATCCCTTTGGAAGGGGTAAGACCAAGAAGGGTGAAGGTTGATTCATAGGAGAGCTCACACTTGAAGACCATTGGGCCTTTAACTAGGTCCATGGTTAGGAGGCTAGAGGAGGCTTCTACAGAAGAGGTGCTTCTTAGACCTATGCTCAATATGAGCATTGAGTATGATTCCTCTTTTTAGTCTCATAGTCTCTATTGTACATACCTTGTATAGTTTTAGTTCTTGTACCTTGTATATAGTAGATACGTATAGGTGTATTTTGCCTTTGTATTTGTAAGATACCTTTTCCTTTTCTTATAGGTCATCCTTTTAGGATTTTAGGGTATGTTGTTTAGAGACTCTTGCTCCATTTGACCTTGTATTAAGGGTCATTGATTTTCATATTTTTAATAGTAGAAGTAGGGCGACGAATAATGAAGTGTGTAGGTGAAGCTAGCAATTGGGCCTGTAGTGGGCCTAGGATAATTTTTACATATTGGGCTTGTTTTGCTCCATTTAATCCAAGGAATTGATTTAGCTAGGTCTCACCCTCATTAGGTGAACCTAACTAAACGAATTCCAACACTTTTGGATTAAATTAAGTGAAGGAAAACAAGATGGCTGCCTAGCTCTTCTAGCTTCTCCCACACACTTGGTTAGCATATGCTACAAGCTTCTAGCTTGGCTTGCTTCACAAGCTTTGAAGCTTAGCTTGTTCCACAAGCTTCCAAGTTACTAGACCGGTTAGCTTGAGTGTAAGAAGGCTAACCATGGTTCTCCTTGAACCATAGTTAACCTAGCTTGCACCACAAGCCGCCTTCTCACTATATAAGTCTTATTCTTCACTTTGTAAACACTTTTGATGCATCTATTGAGAGAATTATGAAATTTCCTCTAAGTTTTCTCTCTTTCAAAAGTCTTAAACCTCTTTGATTTCAATCCAATTCTCTTATCCTTCATACAAGAGTGTGGTGAGTTTTGAAGTGACGAATCTTCCTACAAGGAGTGGTGCCACTTGAGAATGTTCTTCACCTTCTAAGGTGAACCTTGGAGCTTCTACCTCCATTGGAAGCTTCAAAAAAGCTTAAGGAGAATCAAGGAACCGAAGATCTAGAAAGGAACTTGGAGAAGACACCAACACAAATCCAGTTGTTTTACAAGTATTCCATCATGTAAATTAAGGTGACAAAAAATACAAGACATTCTACATTAGTCATATCAATAACTGATGTAGAATATAACATCCTGAATTTTCTACTAACATAATAGTTTATTTATTATTTATTTTTATATTTATTGGAATTATTTTCTTATAAATGTTTTAATTAATTAAATGGGTTTTATAGAATATTTTAGAAGTTTTTAATAATTATGAGTATTTTAATAAAATAATAAATATTTATGAAAATTATTTTGTATAATATTTATTAGAGAACTATGTATTCTTATGATATTTTGTTATAATAAGTATTTGGGGAAAATTATGTGTTTTATTATATTTATTTATATATTTTATTTTAATTATAATTGTGTTGGAAATAGATTATTTTATATATTATATATTTGTTAATTATTAAATATTGTATTTTATTATAATTATTTAATATTTTATATATTATATATTTGTTAATTATTAAATATTGTATTTTATTATAATTATTTAGATTGGAAGAAATATGTTTATTAGATATATTATTTAATTATAAGTTTTAATATTTGAGGGAAAGAAATAAATAATCATGGTTAAAGTATTTTTACTAAAGGGTTAAAGGGAGGTTAAGTTTTTAAAAGAGAGAGAGAGAACATATCAGATTTTAGGTTTTCACTTTTCATGTACGCGCTTCAAAACTCGGAGAACCTGAAGGAGGAGGAAACTACCCCGGGGTTGATCGTTCATCTTTTTCTACTCAACAAGGTAAGGGGGAGTGAAAAACCTCACTCGGGGGTGTAGAAATAATTGTTGGATAGTCGGATTGACCCCTAATCCTTTGCCTGATGTATGCGTATAGGAACAAGCACTTTATAAAAGTTTTCTATTTTGCATTCTAAATGTTCTATTGTGTTCCTTATGTGATTCTAAGTGTGAATACGTGTTCAATTTTGAAAATAGATAAGTTTTGATAGGAATTAAAGTGCTCTATGGGTTCCTACAAGAAAAGGCAAATTTTGAATGTTTTCTATTTTGGCTTTTTAATTTTCTATTGTGTTCCTTGATGATTATTGAGCATGAACTTATGTTTAATCTTTAGTTTGAATATGTTTTGATATGGATTAGAGTTCTCTATGGGTTCCTACTAGAAACCCTATGAGAAACAAATAATTTTTGAATGTTTTCTGTTTTGACTTTTGAGTTTTTTGTTGTGTTCCCTGATGATTACTGAGCATGAATGTATGTTTAGTTTTGAGTTTGAATATGTTTTAATAGGGATTATAGTGCTCTATGAGTTCCTGTGAGAAACCCTACGAGAAACTCCACGAGAAATAGGCAAAATATGAATGTTTTCTATTTTGATGTTTAAGTTTTCTGTTGTATTCTTTGATGTTTGCTGAGTTTAAATTTGTGTTTAATTTCAAAAAAAAAGTTTTAAGTCATGTTTGAAGGTGCTAATGGTGTGAACTGCCTTATTATTGTGTTAATGCAAG